TTGTTTTTCTCAAGAAGTTGCATGAAGCCAGGGTGCAAGGCTAGCCCTCTGACTCCTTCCTCCCACTGCGGGCCTTTGGGCAGATGTCTGAGCTCACTGCAAAGCCAGGCACCCCAACCTCTTCCTCCCCTTATGCCTGCCCCACCCCCACGCCCAGGGGAGGGATAAGGGAGAGGGATCTTGAGATGTTCTTGCCAAGATGAAAAGCATGAGGCTCACGGCTCTTGCTCACTCTCCAGACACCCCTAAACTGTCTGCAAGAAATGCTACACCCTCTCTCTTTTTTTTTTTTTTGCTGTCTCCTCTTGCTGCCTTCATAGGCTCTCTCTGGGATCGCTCTCCTGAGCCCGTTTGATGGGACCCTGCTTCTTCTCCATCCTTTGCGACCCAGGCAGCACTAAAAGCATTTGCTGTCATTGGCCGTTGTCCATCCTGGAGCCTCTTTAGCCTCCTGGCGCTTGGCACCCAGCCTGTGGGTTACTCCTCCTCTCCCAAGCAAGTCTTTCTCCCTCATTCATTTTTCTGTCTTAAAAAAAAAATCTTGTTTCTCCTTCCCTCCCCTCCCCCAACCCCCAACCTCCCTGTGATCTCATTCATAATTATTTACATCCAATTTCCAAACATGACCCCAGTGCTGGCCTCTCCTGGAAGCTTCACGCTCCTATGTTGATGGGTGTGTTGGCAGCCCCACCTGCAGCTCTGGAAGGCACCCAGAATTACAGGAACTTCGTTTTCCTTCTCCACCTGCTCCCCGACAAGGCACACTTTGCAGCAACTCTTGACAGGGCTCACTTCCTGTCTGCTAGTTTCAGAACAGAGGCGAGCCCACCCATGCTTCCTGAAACTTGTTTTTCTTATCTTGGATGTCTTCTAATCCCCTCCTTACTCAGGCCGTTTCTCTCCTGTTCCCGTGCTGTGTTTTCCTGAGATGTCTCTGGCTCTCCCAGTTCTCTGCAGCCCAGCCTTCTACACCAGTGTGACCACTGGACTCTCCTTCTTGAAAGCCAAAGACAGCAAGAAGTTTTTAAAATATAATCCTCAAGGCGGATGTGACTGCAGAGAAGCAGAGGGCTTCTCATTATGGCTACTAGAAACGCAATTTGTTGAATCATTTTAGAATGTAATTGGAGGCTACATAAGAACTGAAATATATTCAGTGTTTGACCCACTAATTTCGTTTTTGAGGAGCTAAAGAAATAACCCATCTAGGAAAAACCCATCATGTACACAGATCTTTATGATGTCATTCTTTACAGAGAGAAAAGTTGGAAATAGCCTGTGTTAGAGCAGAAGTAATCTATGATAGTGGATGGCCTATTATACAGCCATTAAAAATGACATTTGCTTAGAGAAAAAAAGACTAACATGTCGGTAATAATTACTTCTAATTGGTGGGATGACGGATGACTTTAATTTTCTTCTGTACTTTTCTATATTTTCCAAAGTTTCTATCATAAATAACTATTATAATTAGATAAGAAATTTATTTTAAAATAATTCTTATAGTAAGTCTGTGGAGCTGCAGGAGAAAGTAGCATGGCAAATTGTACATAAAACATATTCTGAATGCAAACACAAACCAGAGCATAAAGAAATACCACAGACTGCTTTTGCTGATCGCCTCCAGGTGATCGCACTGTGGGGATTTTTTGTTGTTGATTTTGCTTTCCTGATTTTCTAACTATAGTGCAAGAGAGAGAGAGAGCGCGCGAGAGAGCATGTTTGTGCGTACACACACACACACACACACACACACACACACACACAAAGAAAAACAACTAAGAAGCAGCCAGTTGCCTGCAGAATTTAATTCACATCTCTTAGCATAAACTGCATGCCACAGGGACCCCAGAGAATGTTTTTAAATTTTGAGCTGTAAGTCACATACCGTAAGATCCACTCTTTCAATTTGTACAGCTCAATGCTTTTTAGTACATTCACTGTGACGCACAACCATCACTACCATCTTATTCCAGAACATTTCCCTTATCTTCAAAAGAAATCTTGTAGCCAGGGGTCCCAGGGATTGTTTGGATGTGTGTATGTGTGTGTATGTGGGTTTGGGGAGTTGTTAAGATTACTGCCTTGTATGTGGCCAATCCCGGTTCAATCCCAAGCACTAAGTCTGGTCCCCTGAGCACCACCATGAGTGATTCCTGAGCACAAAAGCAGGGGTAAGGCCTGAGCACTGCCTAGTGTGTTCCCCAGTTTCCCCTCAAAGAAACCTGTATCAACCAGCAGCTGCTCCTCACTCCCACACTTCCCTCTTCCCAGCTCCCATCACTAAGTTTTGTTTGGTACCAGTTTTCTGCATATTTGATTCAAATGGATTATATATACATATACATATATATCCTTTTTGTATTTGATTCTTTTGCTTCTTTGCACAATGCTTCCAAGTTGATCTATGAGGTAGCAAGAATCAGGACTGCATTCTTTTTTTTTTAATCGCTGAGTAATATTCCACAGGCTGGATCTATCACATTTTTTAGATTTGTTTATCAATCAAAGGACACATAGTAATTAGTTTTCCCCCCTCCACACACCTTTTGATTATTGCAAAAACTCATTTGTTTATGTTTTTATGTGTACATAGGTTTTTTTCTTAGGTACTTACAGATAGGAGTGGAATTGTGAAGTCATATGGTAGCTCCACATTGCATTTTTTGAGGGACTATTTTCCAACGCTGTTATATTGTTGCATATTTATACCAATAATGCATGATAGCTTTGATTTCTTCACATTCGCATCAACACTTGTATCATTTTTATGACTTGGAAGTAACCCTCATTGTGGTTTTGGGTTATATTTCTCAGATATATCATTTGTTTGCTTCCATTTTTGTGAGTCACCCTTGTATTTGCATGATAGTATCCTTTGAAGCACAAATGTTTAAATTTTCTGCAGTTCAATTTATCTTTTTTCCCCCTTTTGCTGTTTGTGTTTTCGGTGCCATGGATAATAAACTGTTGCCTAGGGACTGGAGAGATAGTACAGTGGCAAAGAACAGACTTGTGCATGGGTTCAGTTGACCTGGGTTCAATCCCCAGCATCACATATGGTCCCCTGAGACCTGCCAGAAGTGATTCCTGAGTGCAGAACCAGGAGGAAGCACAGCTGGGAGTGGGTTCCCAAACAAAATAAACAAAACAAGCAAGCAGAGAAAAAACAACCAAACAAAAACCATTGCTTAATGCTGTTTTTTTTTTTTAAGTAGTGCAGGCCCCAGTAACGTCTCCTTTGTCCTACCACTGAGATTTTTTAAAAAGTGCCATATTCAAGGCTCTTTCAGGATTAGGAGAATGAGACCCATCATTGTTACTGGTATTTGGCATATTGGGTGCATTACATTTTATTTTATATTTGGATCTCATAGTAATAATCATGTCTTACCTGTCATTAATAAAACTTAAAAGAATTCCTTGCGGGACTGGAGCGATAGCATAGCAGGTAGGGCATTTGCCTTGCACATGGCCAACCTGGGTTCAATCTCTGGTATCCCATATGATCCCCCTGAGTACCACCAGGAATAATTCCTGAGTGCAGAGCCAGGAGTAATCCCTGAGCATCACTGGGTATGACCCCAAAAAGCAAAAAAAAAATTCTTGCTAATGCACTTTGGAGTTTACATGAAATAGGTAAGGCCTACATATGTAAAAAAATTTTTTTCCCTACACGTTATTTAAACATGTGGTTTACAAAGTTGTTCATGATGATTTGTTACAAGCATTTACTATTCCAACATCAGTCTCGCCACCACTTTCACCTTCCCTTCATCGTTGTCTCCAATTTTCCCAACCACTCCTCAAGTTGCCCCCAGAGCAGGCCCACAGATAAATTTATTTTATATTGCTTGTTACCAATAAATTGCTAATGGAATGATCAAAAAATATTTTTTAGAAGAAAATTACTGAAAATTGTTGTAACTCATCATAGAGACATTAAGTCCTTGTCTGAGAGATTACTAAAATGTTGTTACAAGTTAAGCCTTCTGTGTTAATGTTTTTGTCAGTTGAGATTGGTTGGCATCTATGTTACATTCCATCCAATCTGGTTATGTCCATACCAGTCTGGTGTTCTGCTGGATTGTCAGTGTTGTAGAGTTGGGAGATGTTTATGGCCATAAATGTGGCCACACAATCCAGAATTTTTAACTAGGTGGTACAGTTGAAGTTAAAATTTTAACTGGGTGGTGGTTTTAGGTTGTGGGAATTGCTACCATGGCTTTTGGAACTGGAGGAAAGGTAGGGGAGAGGTAGCCCATCCCGACTCTGAGAAGGGCTGTGGATTTCAGTCACAGAGACCCATGTACCTAGGTTTGTGGAGGGTTAATTTCTCTGTAAAATTCGGTCCTTAGGTGATGGAATATGGTGAGAGGCATGGGGGTGACTTTGGAGTGTGGTAGCGAGCCCCATTGTCTAATTAATTTCTTCAATTCCACAGAACACAGAACAATATGTTTGTTCATTCATTTGTTCTAGAAGTTTTTACTAAGTGTCGATTATGTGCTAGGCTTTAAATTTATGGTGAATATAAGCAGAGGACAGAGCTCAGCAGTGGAACTCTTACTTTGCATATTGATACCTAGAAATGCCAGGTGGAAAAATTGTGGTGATTACAAACAGAGATGGTCCTTACATTAATGGTGAATATACAACAGGGGGTAAAATCAGGACTATTCAAAATTATAGTGGCTAGAGAGATACCATGCTTTGTCTTCGTATGCAGGAGGTCTAGCCTCACTCTATCATCACGGGATCCCCTCAAGCACCTCTAGGAGTGGGGTCAGAAGTAGCCCCTGAGTACCAAGTGTGGCCCAAGTACTAAAAACAAAGCATATAAGCAGGAAAAATCGGAGCACTTGTCAGGAAACCCACTTTCTATTCTTGTGACTAGAAATATCTACTTCCTATTTTTGTGAATATTGACTATTAAACTTTTTTTTTCATGGTGATACAATTTATTTTATTTTTTTATTAATGAAACACCATGAGGTACAAAAAATATGGAACGCTTCACGAATTTGCATGTCATCCTTGCGCAGGGGCCATGCTAATCTTCTCTGTCACTGTCCTCCCGTTGTTCATCGATTTGCTCGAGCAGGCCCAGTAACGTCTCCATCGTGACACTTGTTGTTACTGTGTTTGGCATATTGAATACATCAGGGGTAGCTTGCCAGGCTTTTCCATGAGCGCGAGATACTCTTGGTAGCATGCTGGGCTCTCCGAGAGGGGCGAAAGAATCGAACCTGGCTCAGCCGGGCCGGCTGCACGCAAGGCAAATGCCCTACCGCTGTGCTATCGCTATCGTTCCAATTATAGTATATGTGCTGCTGAAGCGAGCACTAAACATTTTTTAAATTTGAGTTTAGGGCGCATAGTTACAATGGTGTTGAAGTTTATGGTATTTGTGTACAAAGTTACCGCACCCCACCACCATAGCACCATGACTCTCTAGCACTGTCCTTGGGTCACCTCTGCTCCATTCTTTTGAATATTTACAGTGTGACCACGTGGTCACTGACTCTATCACCATCCAGGGTGACCCTGGGATCAATGCAAGAGGCACTCTGTTACCCTGCCCCGCAGGGTGTCTCCATGCATGTCTCCTCTTCTCCCCCAGTTCAGAATTACACACAGCCCTGATCCTTATCCAAGCACCTGGTCCAGTGACTCCCGGCTCTGCCGAGCTCTTTCTTCCATTGTGCAGTTCCCTGGTCCACTGTTTATATGCCTCAACCCATGCCGTTCCCCTCCTCCCTCTACCCATGGCCTATTAGCATCATGCTCTAGTTCCCTTGCTCTGCTATCTACACCCACCCCAAGCCCCAAACCCTACCCTGGGCAAATCCAGCAGAGCACCTACTTTGCACCCACATCCAGGCAGAGGAATGTGGCTTGAGAAAAAACCCACAACTACTTGCACAGGTCTCTCTTTTCAACAAGTCCTTCTTGTCTGTCCATCCATTTTCCCACCCACCTCTTTGTCTGTGCACCAGTGGGCTGCATGGCATGGCTGGCGAGTCCTTAGTCACTCTGCCCAGGTTCTGTAGCTGCTCCCCTGTCTGGGGATCCCTTCTCCCACCTGGCTCTCAGTGGGAGCACTCACCTCCCCCATTCACTCCGGAAACATCCAGCGGAGCACTTGCCACGGCATTAAGCTTGCCAACTGCATTAAGCTTGCATCCATGGGTAGAGAGATCTGGACGTGCGCTGCCTTCTCTCCCCTTGCAAGTTCCTTGTGCCTGTGGCAATGCCACATCCTCCGCTGGGCTCTGGATGCCGTTTACCAGGCCTGTGTGAGAGCTATGCCACTGTCTCCTCGCCCTCCTCCCTATGCGAACACTCCTTTCAGTACAGATACACCATACTGCATCCCTTCTTGCCTGATATTTTATTGGGGGCTGGGGGGTGGCTTCATACCCAGTGGCATTCAGGGCTTACTCCTGTCTCCCTGGTCCCTGGAGATGCTTGGAAGCCCAGACGTAGTGATGGAGTTGAACTGCAGTCAACTGTGTGTGCAAGAGAAGCACCTTAACCCTCTGCTATCTCTCTGGCCCTCCACTTCCCTTCTGAGAGCAAAATAAACACCCTCCTGAGAGCTCTTAAGTGCACTGACTCCTGCTCTAGTGCTCTACTTCTGACTGCTGCATAATTCCTCAAAAGATTTGGCTATCTACATCCCCCCGCCTCCACCTCCTTCAGTATTTTTCCAGTTTTCTCTCAACTCCAGCTCTTTGACCTGCCATACCTCTTTAGATTGGGTCACCAAGTTCCTTCCTGCCCCAGGGCCCTTGCCTTTGCTTTTCCTTCTGTCTGGAGTCATCTTCCCACACACCTTTGCCTGATCACTTGCCTCATGCCACTGAGGTCTCTGTTGAAATGTCATCTGCCCAGAAAGGCGTTCTCTGTCCTGATAGCCAGCCCAATCCCAGCTACAGTTCTCTTCTTCCCAACAGCGTGTGTGTATATGGATTTGGTTACTGTCTTTTCTTCCTTCAGAATAGCCTCCTGGGTGCTTATCTTGTTTGCTGTGAGATTCCTGGTGTGCCAAACTTTGTGTGACTCCTAGTAGGTGCTCAGTAAGTACACTTCAGTGGTAGTAGACTGGCTGTGCCTTCTATGGAAGTGGACCATGAGAGGAAAGGTGGACAGGGCATCCCAGCGTAAGCAGGACTATACCATCATCTGAGTGAAAAGAGATGGTTCTGGTCAGAGAGCTAACACAGGGGCTAAGTGGCTTGCTTTGCATTCCACCTGCTTCGTGTTTGGTCTCCATCACCGTGTGATCCCTGAGTACTACCAGGGTCACTCCTGAAAATAGAGCCAGGAATTGTCCCGGCTGGGGTTACCCCGGTGACAAGAGCTGAGGCAAAGAGAGCATGCCCAGGTTGAGGGGCTGGAAGAAAGGTGGCAAAGATGAGAGAAGGCCCGCCTGGAGTGCAGACTGTTAGGATGGGGATGGGGGCGGGAAGGTGCGAAGGTGGGGCCTTGGGAGCAGGGCCTGGGGGCTGTGGCTCAGCTCTGACTTCTGTCCCAAGAGTAGTGGGGGGCCCTGGAGGGAAGGCACCAAGTCATTTGATTTTTTTTCTTTTTGGGTCACACCCAGCGATGCTCAGGGGTTACTCCTGGCTCTGCATTCAGGAATCACTCTTGGCAGTGCTTGGGGGACCATATGGGATGCCAGGGATTGAACTTGGATTGGCCGTGTGCAAGGCAAACACCCTACCCACTGTACTATCGATCCAACCCCACCAGGTCATTTGATTTGCACAGGCAGAGACCCCTGCACATTTCTTGTTGCTAAGAACAAAGAGATGATGAGGATGACACTGTTGGCCTCTGCAGAGTGAACAGTCCTTGAGAGTATCTTACATCCTCCCGTCCTGTGGGCCTTCTTCAGCTCATCAGGAACTCCTCCCGCTTGCACTGGGCCTGGGGTTCTCCTATTACTGGGGTCAAGTTTTCTAAATCCCAAATCAGAGCACACGGTCTTACCAAGGACTTCGGGGGCTTCCAGTATTTACGAAACTACACATTCCTACTCCAGTTAAGCACATTTGACAAAAAAAACAAAACAGGGGTTGGAGCCATAGCACAGCGGGTACGGCGTTTGCCTTGCATGCAGCCAACATGGCCGACACAGGTTTGATTCCCAGCATCCCATATGGTCCCCCGAGCACCGCCAGGAGTGATTCCTGAGTGCATGAGCCAGGAGTGACCCCTGAGCATCGCCGGGTGTGACCCAAAAAAGCAAAACAAAACAAAACAAAACAAAAAATAAACCCTGTGTGGCAGAATCCTAGTCACGGAGACTATTCTAGAAAGTTAGGAGAAATTGATGAGTGAGGCAGCTCTGTCTTCATCGAGACTCCACACTCAGAATTCTAACGCTGTTCGACCAGAGTTCAATATAATAGGACAAATCTTTGAAAGTCACCCAAAGTCATTCTCCTTCCCCTCACCAAAAAAACAAAAAAAAAAGAAAGAAAAGAAAGAAAAGAAAATGGATGGTGAGATTGTACAGAGGTTAAGACGCTTGCCTGGCTTGCGATTGACCCCAGTTTGAGCACCACCTATGGTCCCCTGAACACAGCAGGCATGTTCCTTGAGCACCGCTGTGTGTGGCCTCTGCCCACCCCACACCTACCACCCCCAAAAACAGTCTGGGGGTCTCACTCTCCTTTTTGGAAAGGGGGATGGGCAGGAAAGCGAGAGGCCTCTTGGGAGTCAGGGGTCCAGGGGTCTGCTTAGTGACATTAGATTTTTCTGAACAACTGTCTTGTCTGCGAGGTGCCCGTGCTGGTACTGGTGGGCATCTCAGCGAGGTACCCATGCTAGTGCACTCTTCCAGGCACTGGTGACACTTTGGTATTGAAAGCAGGAGTCGTGTCTATACCTACTGAACCTGTGCTTAGACACTGCGCTTCGAGGGGGCAGGACAGCGCAATGAGTAGGGCTGTCATGACAAGGACGGGCAGTTTCTGATGAGATGAATCTGCTCACATATGCTTGCCTGAAGGCTGTGTCTGAGTCCTGCTGTGAGGTGGGCACAGGGACTGGGCAGGACCTGAAGGCCTTGAAGAAGCCTTTCTAGAAGTCTTCGAGGGAAGCTAGAGGTCAAGGCAGTGCTTAGGCGAGGACTGGGGGTGAGGGGTGAGCAAGCAGAAAGCAGAGGGGACTCTAACAAGTGTGGGTTGGTTGGTTCTGGGGCCACACCTGGCGGTGCACCATGTGGGGTGCCAAGGATCAAACTCAGGTCTGCCTCTTGCAAGGCAAGTGCCTTCCTTGCTGTGCTATCTCTCCGGCCTAGGAACTGTGTTGGATGACACAGAGCCAGCTGGGAACTGCAGGGACTCTCGGGGCTCCAGTGGCTATTAGGCATTGCCCCATTCAACTGCAATAAAGGGCTGATTCTGTAACTGCTTTCAAGGATGGGGAGAAGTGGGGAAAGCAACTCCTTCCCATGCTGGACAGACATTCCCAGCATTTCAAGCTAAAATATAAGACCTTCTTGAGGCTGATACTGGCCTTATATGCAGCTGGCCCTGATCCCCTTCTGGGACCACTGCTGAGTATAGAAATAAGCCCATTGGTACTGCTGGGTGTGGCCCACCATTCCTACAGCCCCCAAGAGATCAGTTTGACTCCTTGGCTGCCTCTCATTGAGAGCTCAGGAAGGTTCCAGTGTGGCCTGAGATCCAGGGAGGAGGCTTGGAGTTGGTGATTTTCTCCCGAAAGCCTTCCTCCTCTATTTTGAGGTTCCATGACTGGTGGGGCCCTTCAGATGGTAAACCCAGTCGTTCCACCCCAAGAGGGTGAGAGAACATCCCTGTTCCCTAAGGAGGGCTGCTTCAAGAAATTGCTTAGCAGGGGCTAGAATGATAATATGTGGGTAAGGAGCTTGCCTTGCACACGGCCAAGCCCAGGTTTGATCCCTGGTACCCTATATGGTCCCCTGAGCACATCAGGTATAATTCCTGAGTGCAGAGCCAGGACTAACCCCTGAGCACTGCTGGTGCAGTCCCCAAACCAAAAATCAAACAAACAAAACCCCAAACAAATCTCAGAGGAGAGATTTCAGTGGTAATTTCCAATCATTTA